ATTACTGCACGCAAAGTTGGATCTTGATAAATCAGGCCCAAAGTTTTTTATCTAAGTAAAACCAATTGATTGCATTGACTCATTGACTCAAAAGCAATCCTCACACTAAGCATGCTTGCAGGGACAGTGGAGAGGAAAAACTCAATTTTAACAGGAAGAAACCTCCAGCAGAACCAGGCTCAGTGCTCATTACCCTTTAGCATTAAGAAAACTAGACATGCATGTGTATTTTTTCACATTTCCTGACCCTGGTTCCTTTAGCATTCAGTGCTTCAGTGATTGTTTTCTAAATAAATGTAATTGTAATTTCTCTACTAACATAAAATGATTTAAAATCATACTTTGTACAGAAGCTCAGAGAGGCAAGTAAGGAAAAACATTGGATGAGAAAACTTCTAGGTTTTTTTTCTCTCCACCAACACAATGCAATTATTTTTTTCTCCACCAACAGCTGGACGAAAAAAATAAACTTCACACCTAGAGAGAAGTAAAGGTTATTTTGTCCAATTAGAAAATTATGGAGCAACATTTTGTATAATAAAAGGAAAAGGCCTTAAAAACACTTGCAGATATGATAAATAGCTAATGGGAAAGCCTTTTTTTGGTAGTTTGTAATCAAACTTTTGTCCTCTGTAGATTACATAACATTAATTGTTTAGGTGTGATTTTGATATATTTTTAACTTAAACATTCTTCATCTTTAGAAGATTCTGAGGCACGTTTCAATCCACTCATCTCCCAGAGTCCTTACATTGAATTTTAAGTGAATACAAGTGAAGTAATTTATTGGGCCATTTTACCAGTTTCACTTTATTATTATAAAAACAATCAAGAGTTTACATAGCTGTATTTAAGTATATCTTGGTGCACAATTGTCCATCGTATTCCCTTTTCAGCTTCTCTTAAAAAACACTTTATCTTATCAAAAGAAGAAATATTACATTTCTCAGTACACCTTTGCTTCATTTACATAAAACCTCCCAATATGATCTTTTTTTAAGACCTACACCATATAGTATTCCCTCTTGCAAACTTGGCTTTTACTGTAGTGGGTTTTTTTTTTTTATTGGTGTGCTTAACTGTTCCTCCTGCATGCATGATGTGTTCAATTCACCTAAAAGCCTCAGCTTTGACCTCTCCTGACCAGACTGTATTCGACCAGTATTTCAGTGTTTTTTTAAATCTACTGCAACAATTTTTAAACAAGCCATAATGCAATTTTTGGCAAGAAGTCTTGTGCTGGGAGTTTGTTTCAAGGCCATTGCAGTTGCTGGACTACTTTTTGTACTATGAGTGTTAATCTTACGAGGGAAACTTGGCAATAGCTGGTTTTTGGTGAAATTTTGTTTATGGCTCCAACTACACTCACTGATACATTAAATGTAGTTGAAACTGATCCCATTAGGATATTTTGTACAAGTAAAGCTTTTTTGTAAAGGTCTATTTTCTATCACTAATATTACCATTTATTAAATCATAAGTTAATGATTAACCAGTGGATAATCTTTTTCACACTAGAGCATGATGTTTTTCTAAATACTACGACGGAGTATTAGGGCCACACATGAAGAGAAAAAATATTTTTGCCATGACGAGATTAAACTCGACATGTCGACTTTAAAGTCGACATGTCGA